GGCGCGCAGAAGACGGCGCGGATCGGACAAGAGCGGCGGCAATGGCGGTCGGCGTCACCAATGGAGCACGTGCAAAGGCCTCCGCGCGCGGCGCGTCTCAACGCTGGCTCGAGTGGCTGGCCTCGCAGCCCGCGGTGCGAGGCGGCGCGCGGTGCGAGACGGGGCAATCACCGATAATCGGAGGGGGCGGCGCGTCCTGAAGTCGCTTGCAGGCTCGGCGGCGCGTGGCCCCGACCGGGGTGTCTTCGGGCGTGCGTGGCGCGCGCGCGTGGCGCGCATACTAGTACGGGTCCCGCCGGGCCCGCCACTACGCTCGCGCAACCGCCGTGACGTACACCCATGGCTGCGGCGCAGCGCGGTCGTTCATGTAGAGAACGAATGATATATTTTCCAAGAATCCAATCGGCTCATCCCATTGGTCGGACGAGATCTCAGCTAGCTGAGTTTCATCGCTCCACTGGTAGCCGCTGCCATGGAAACGCAACCGCTGGCAGCGGGCGTCCCGTATGACCCGGGCCGGAGGACTGCTTTCGGACACATGGACAACCGCACAGCCCCTGACGCGCCTGTGAAGGAGAAGCGCACCAAGGGCTACGTCAAGTTCAAGGAGTTAACGGTCGACCGGGAGACATGGGACGCGCTGGTGCCGTACATGGAGGACGCGACCGTGGAGAAGGTTCGGGTACACCACAGCGAGGATGGGGCAAAGGTGTGTAAGGCTGATTCTCAACCGCTGAGCAAGGCGCTGAAAAAGTTGCTTCGACGGCCAACTGCCGCAGCAACTGCCGGACCGGTTCAAACTATGGACGCGGGGTGCCAAGTGAGTGACCAGGATTTAATGGGGCCCATCTCTAAGAGAAGAAAAAGACTTCCTTCAGACACCTTTGAAGCTGGCTTATCGAACAGTGAAAAAAATATGATCATGAGGGCATTAGGGCGTGAGACATGGAAGCAACCGGAGGAGCTCGGGAGCGACCAGTGGATGGTCTGCCAGAGAACTGTGCTGCTCATCCATGAGCTGAAGAAGAGTAAAATGTGTCCCATTACAGGGAGAGATCAGACCCTGGACGCGTGGCACACCATGATGATCTACATGGTCCAAAATTTGTATTCTGCAGAGCACCGTTTTGGTGGTTTATGGGCCACCATTACAGTTCAAGTCTTAACCCAGTTTAGTGCCCAGATTGGACAGCCCTGGAAATGGGTGTGCCAGTTGGACACCAGGGCCAAACTTTCGATCGGTGACATCCAGAACATGCATGACATTACGGTGAAACTGACAGACCAGTGGTTCGTGTCGGATTTCGGGCGGCGCATGCCCAGGAAGCTAAGAGGCAATTGGATCATCCCTCATCATGTCAAATTGAGAGTAAAAATCAAGGAAGCTACCGCTTTCATGTCTGCTATGTTTAAGCTGGATTTTAAAATTCCAGCTAATGATATGGGAATAAAGATTCATGATGGTGATTACGCTGCTCTCGGAGATTTTCAGAATGGTCTCGAAATTTACCTTCAAGACAATGGCCTGAATGACAGGGGACACAGTCCAGCTGATGCGGTGGAGGTTAAAGGAACCGGCGATAATGGCCAAGTGACCGCTCATCAGTCAGTCACTTTTGCTGCCGTACAGCTACCAGGGGCACCTGCCAGGGATGCTATTGATGGGTTATTAAACAGTAAATTCCAGAGCACAGGTAATCTGCTGCCATCTGGGGCCATTATGCATAAAGAGACTGGCTTATTATGGCATGCGTTTCCTGCATTGAACATGGTCTACAGGTTCAAGAGGGAGTTGGACAAGAGGGGTGGTTACTTCAATCATAAGCGGCTTGGGAGAAAGTTTTACCTGATGATAAAATCGGCTAAGGACCTCTCTTCTACATGGAAAACCAGCGGTACTGTCGAGGAGGAAAATGGAATAAAAAAAGTTAAGTGTAGAGGTGGAGCTGCAAAGAACAGCAAAAATCCCTGCCACCTCTGTCCTGTGCATGATGACAACCTGCATGTTCCCAAAATTGGTCAAGAAAGATGCCACAGATGCACCTCGAACAATTTTGACAGGTGCTTTTGTGAGCCTATGCTTACGCAGGACCTCCTCTCCCGCCTCAAATCGCAGCTGGCCTTGTTGGAGAAGAGTCTGGTTGGAAATGTCCCTTCTTTCATAAAAGCACAGGTCCTGGGTTACGAGGAGCTGGATGAAGATGATTACGAGGAGCTGGGAGTACTTGAGTTTCTCGATAAACCCCAATTACTGCAGGAAGTGGAGGCTGCTTTAAGAAATAAATATGTATCAGCTCTTCCCAAGGACCAGGGGCGAACATTTCATATTGGATTTCAACCTACAGGTGTCAATGAAGCCATGGAACGTACCAAAGCCCTCAAAAAAACAGCAATGGACCTGCATGTCAAAGACTATGAAAGCATGAGTGCATCAGCACTCGTTGCTGCCATAGAGCCATTAATGGTGTGCTGCTACGATATTCTAAGGCTCAGAGAAAAACTTGAGTGCTGCAAGGGCAATGATGATGCACTGGTAATATTGGTAGAGGATGCGAGGCAAGTGCAAGCTGTGGGTCTTTTTGGCCAGCGATACGCCTCGCTCGAGGAACCACAGGATGGTCATAAGCTTTTTCTCCGATTCGACCCTGTGGCTTTTTGGTGGTTTTCTACATTCGAGTTGCCACTGGTGCTAAGCTAGAAGTCGCAACGCCCGCGGAGGGGGGTGAGGGGGTGGCCGTCCGCTAGTTTCCCGATTTATCCCTGTGGCTTTTTGGTGGTTTTCTACATTCGAGTGCCCCCCATCGGCCAACTAAATAAACTCAGTAGGCTAAGTTAATTAGCAATCGTGTATTCGAATTAGCTAGAGAGATAGAGAGTTTTGTATCTCCCTAGTGGCTCGCTGGTACAGAGCCACCCAATTTCCTTCCCCTCCTTAATACTTTCTAACCCTGTTATAGCTGCTTCCCGCACTGTAATAGACGGAGAGTCTTCCTGGACCTAGTGAGGCAGATCCTCTGCCCGTTCGTCCAGTAGCCCCAGCCCCCGTACACTACGGCAGCTGAGGTGACGTGAGGATAACAGAGACGCCGGTGTACCGCCACTGCGTAACCTCGATAGTTCACCCTCACACGGCAGGGCAGCCCCACTAGGCTGCCTCCCCGTGTCGGAGTTTACTATCTCGTTAGGTTTGGGACCCAGCGCTCGGTCTCTCTGCGTAGACCTCACGCATTCTTTTCGTTCGCTTCTCGTTTGCGCTCTTTCCCCGCGCTCAATTGCAGGGGGAGAATGGATCCGAGCTTGGAGCAATTGGACGCCGACGCTAGAGCGGCAGCCGCGGCAGCAGCCCAGGCAGAGGTAGCCAGGGCAGCAGCTCAGGCAGAAGCAGATGCCAGAGAAAAAGCAGAAAAAGCAGCTGAGAATGCTGCGACTCTGGCAGGCATTCTCAAAGCGATTAAGGACTCTAGCGACAAAATTGACAGAATGGAACTGAAGCTAGACACTGTCACTTCATCATTAGATAGCTTAAGTGTTAGGGCAGACAAAACAGAGGAAAAACTCAAGAAGCAGAAAGATTTTTTCTCAGGCCCTGGTCTGATAGATGAACATAAAGACGACTTAAAGTCTCTCATCCTGGGCACCATGTTGGAAAATAAAGATCAACTATCGATGGTATCCGCCGATGACCTCGGCAAAGTCACCCAACAGCTCACTACTACTGATGGGAGGTTGGCCAAGCTCCAGAGCAAGTACGATCAGATACAGACTTCAGCCTCCTCACCTCAGACTCCAGCATCTAGTGAGCCTATCGAAGCACTTGCTACTATAGTAGCAGGTGTAATATCTAAGTCCAAAACGCCTGGTAGCGACCCACCAGGAGATACTCCGCCTCCTGCAGGTGCAGGTTCAATGGAAGACAATGATCCGAATGCTTACAGCGGCAGTTCATTTCCTAGGCACCTCATATTCTTTGAAGGCAAAGCTGCTGACAATGACATTGTTTTTAACCCTCAAGTAAACCCCTCACTGCAGTTGCGTCTTTGGCAGGAGAAATCAGTCTCATTCCCGTACTTTGAAGACCTGCTGCTTCCCTGGGAAGGCTACCTGTATGGTATAGAATTCATTACATTGTACCATGAGAGAGCAGTAAGCTACCTCATGGAGACCCCACAATACCAAACAGAAGGCGGTCGGACAGGTGAACTCCTGTACACCAAGTTTTCAGTCTACGAGTTAGGAAAAACAGCAGTAGCTGCACTCAAGATGATCCAAGATCAGCTTCTTGGCATAAGGGATCCAAATGATGAAAACCTGTACAAATATAGGAGAGATCCATGGAAAGATGTCCGATCTGGACGAGTCGACTATGGCAGGTACATGACCCGCTCTCTTCACCTACACAATGTGCTAAGTGCAGCCATTGCTCTTCTCAAATTCTACAGAGGAGATGAGACTAACTTAACCTCTACTAATCTTCAGTTTGAAACCATGATGAGTCTCGCCAGGCATCCAAGTGCAGGTAATGGCCTCCTTTATCACGTTTGGCACCAGATAATCAACTTAAATGGTGTCGACACATCCACAGAATGTAGAGAGATGGAGATTCAACTTGACATGCTTACCTACGACATTTCAAATGGACACTGTCTTCTCCGGTTTATTCTATCCATCCGCACTATACTCGACTGTCTTAAGAATCGTATTGCAACTTACAACCTTGCAGCTCGAAAAGCTGTCTTGTATGATAGGTTACTTAGGCTACACATGCACCAGTTCATTATCCCAGTAGTTCGACAGAGGCAAATTGAAGCCTCACATAGTGAAGATGCATTTCTGTCATCCATGCTCGAACTTTCGACTATCCTGACAAATCAGCACTCATACTCATTAGTAACTCAGTCTAATCCTAACTCAGGTGTTCATGAGTTGAGTGTCATAGACCAGACTAAATCATTTGACAGTTATGTCCGTTATGTACAAGAACAGGCTTCTCGATCTAGCTACAAACCAGGTCCTCCTCCTGTCGAATGGGAACCAAGACTGTCTCAGGTTGACACTCCACCCCGCGATGCCCACGCAACCACGGGACTAGATGATTTAGACCCTGATGACGCAGATGAAGCTGCAGGTGCATTTGCTGCTGATGGCAATCGACGTACTGGGAGAGATGGGAAAGGGAGGCAGAAATTTCGACCCGGTCCTTCAGTCAATGCTCCCAGTTTGTTCGATGATAGAGTTGTAACCGCTGACCAGCAGTATAAGCGAGATCGCCAATCCTTCCTAAAAAGGAGGTCGAATGAAACTGCTACGACCCCTGGGATCAGAGATCGACTTAAAGGTCCTCTACGTCCTGGAAGTGCCCCCAAACCATCAGGTACTGGAGGCGCCACAGCCCCAAAGGGCACTGCATCAGGTCCAGCATCAAGAGAGGAGCTGATCCAAGCTATTCGGAAATTTAAGGACGACCTGAGGACAATCCGTTCCAAGACGTTTAAAGAAAGTCAGTTTAGGACAATGGCAACTGACGATGTAGTCAAACTGATCAAAGAACTAAACCAGATAGCACACAATGCTTTGACTAGTAATCGCCAAAACTCAAAAGTAAAGGCAAACGCCTTACACATGGCTCATGAACTGACACAACACCTTATTGACCGTGCAGTGTTTATCACAGGTAGCTACGTGTCTGATGATCTTGATGGAGAAGAGCTCATCACCTACCTCACAAATACGCTGGAAGGACAAGATGATGGCTACTTTGCCCATGTAGCATCCCAGGACCCCCAAAGTTTTCAGTCAGGGGAGGAATCGAACTAGGTTCCCCGTTTGAAATCTCATCCGCACTCTATAACACTTTATCAAGCTTCGTAACAGCTGGACTCAAGTGGTTAAATAATCATTTTCCACAGAACCTCCTAATTCTCGATTCAGGTTCTACCGGATGGTTCAAGAAGACCACCAGTGGACTTATTCCCTCCACGATTGAAAAGATCGATATCCCTATCACTATGGGGTCTATTGTCGCAAAGGGCACCATGACTGGACTTGGCCCTGCATGCATTAAGGATGAATCAAATACCTCCACAGGTATTCTTCACTTAATCAGATGGATAGTCGTACCATCGTTTTTCAACCACATCGAACTTGCCTCCCAGGACACTTTTGAGCGAAATGGCTGGACTGTTAGTTCATCCAAAGACTCTAAATTCATGTACAGAGCAAATTCTGCCACAGCGCGCCTGTCTTCCAAGGAACTAACCGACCCTAGCAAGCTATCTAAAGTTACTAATTGGATTAAAATTCAGAGGCAAACTAATGGGTTGAGAACCATCAAGTGTGTAGATCCTTCACAATTCACTAGATTCGTGGACTCTGCTACAGGGGGAGAAATCCCCAAAGAAGCCATTTACGACCCGGATAAGCTGCTAAAATACTGCACCCCTCTATCCAAGAAACAACGCCGTAGCATCAACAACTACTGCGGGACCTTCCTATCAATGCACTCCACATCATTACTAAACCCGCAGGAGTTTAACCTCTGCGGCGATGGTCCCAGCGACCCCAACTTAGTACGTGTCTGTCTTGTCGGCCCTGGACTATGCACAGAATCAACAAGCGCGTTTGCAGATATCCCCATTACAGTGGTAGCTTTCATTGAATATGGAAGCAATTTTGACTACGCCAAACAGTGTTTCCCCAATGCGCAGGGTTTTTACGATATTCGTGTCGTGAACAAAGACCTTGAAAACAAGACACTTGTTTTCCCAGCTTATGATCTATTAGTCTATACTGCCCCATGCTACAGAAATACGCCACTGAGACTGGAAAATGACTTACCTGTCCCTACAAGTGCCGCTGTCTTTGTGAGGAGCTGTCAAGCTAACTAGCCCGAACCATGTTCTAAATGAACATGTTCCTACACGTCCCGAGTGTCATGACGAACACGACAGTCTAATGGAATTCTTCTCTAGCGCAGGATACAACACAGCAACCAACATGTTGGATGCATGCAATGTCGGCGACCGGACCTCCAGGTTCCGGTGGTTCTGCCTGGCCAGTAAGAAAACAATTACGTCTTTTGATGTATGTAGGGTGAGTAAGATGAGTGTTCATCCAAAACCCATGGAAGACATTTTGGAGGAAGAAAATGCTGAGATGTCATATAAGAAGGATACAGCCAAGCAATTTGTGCCCGGCACCGTATCGAACCTTTTCCAGCGTTTCAAATCAGGCCAATATAAGTGCAAATCTGTGCTTCCACATGAGAATGCCTTTGTCTGTGTCCTACTGTCTTGGATACATGGTAAATCCACAAAAGGTTGCATCCCTGAATTTGGCATTGCTGACAACGGCGACATCAATTTGACGAATAGCTCGTCCAACGGCTCTGCTGTAGCGTATATCTACTCATTATTACTGCGCCAATTCCCCGGGGCCTCTGTGTCGCTTCGCTGCAGCTTCCAGCTGCTGTATCAGCGCGACCCTCCCCAATGCGATGTGTATTTTGGCGCCCGTACTGGCGATCAGGGAATATACTTCGCCTGTAGCCTCTCCCACTCTTCGTCTTCTGTCTCTCGCCAGCAGGTAGTCGACGCAATGAATGCAAGGCCGCGGAGCGCGCGCCTTGCACCCGGGGGAGAAATCCTATTTGAGGATGCTATGAACTACCTGCGTTCACACGTCAGGGCAACTCTTTGTCATAGCCATAGCCGTTTTCACACTGGCGATCCGTACTTAAACAAGAAGAAGGGTACTACAGGTTATCTCACATCTGGTCCGGCACCCACCATCACCAGTGACATGAATGTAATCATTGATGTCACTCACAGGCATGAAAGCCCTAACGCGCCTGTCCATAGATATTTCACCACAGTGGAGGCTGCCAGGGCATCATCGTTTACTCCCGATTGTCTACAACGCCTACAGTCGATGGATGAAGAGACTGCCAGGAAAATGATTTCAAATGCAATTCCTAGGTTTATGCTCACAGCAGTGTACCTCACTGTATGTACACACATACTCGGAGGTGATATGTCAACACACAGCCTGTCCGCTTTCCTACATATACATGCTCGACCACTGATGTGTTTGGGTGCTCATACTGAACTATCTTCTTCTGACGTAAGGGATAACATCTCAGACAGCAGGAAACACCGCAAGAAGAAGCATGCACCCAAAGCGCCTACTTCAGGATGGCGCCCATGTCCATCCCCAACGTCTAAGGAATATGCCGATTCCAAGTTCGCAGTGGACCTTTACCACAAGACAACACACAGATCCTGGCAACAGATAGAAAGCGACATTGAAGCAGGCACCACACTAGGTTTCGATCTAAAACCAGGCGACAGCCGAATGATGAGCCCATGTGCAGACTGTGAAGCAAACCAAAGTCAAATCCGAATTCCCAAACACAGTGACAGGTGGCATGAAAATGAAACCAATCATCTACCTGGTGAAGCTGGAATGATTGATATCTGGTACTCTCCAGTCCAGTCCAGAAATGGACATCATAAATATGTCCTCATATTCGTTTGCATCTCATCAGGCCTAGTAATTGATATCCCTATGAAGAAGCTGGACACCTACAGTTTCATGGACGCTATGCACGACATTTACAACCAGCTTCATCTTGACTTTGGAGTCAAACTGAAATTGGTTGTGTCCGACTCTTTTTCATCTTTTGTTGAGCAAAGGAAACTACTCAGGTTTAAGTTACAGCTACAACTGGAGATCGAGCCACTGCCCCCATATCTACATAATTACAATTACGCAGAAAATTACATCAAAATTGTTAGGAACGCGGCAGTTGTAAGCATTCAACAGTTAAGGGGACATTTCATAGGCAATAGTCTGATCACACCAGAGCAGTTCCTCATTGATGCTATTCACCATAGTGCCTGTGTGATAAACCAAACTTCCAGCGCAAGTATACTGCGTAAGTACAACACTAAACTTCACCCAGGAAATTGTCGGGAAAGCACAAG